TGAGATGTTTATGTGGACAAAGTTTCAGATCAAAATTAAAAAAATATGGCCTTGCTGCAAATGTGGGGTCTTGTAGGAAAAATTCACTAAAACTTCGATATCTCACTAGGAATAAGCTAGTGGCACGAACTTTTTTTACGGTAGACATAATTCATCAAGGCCTACAAGATGCGCAAAGTCCCGATTCGAAAGCGTTCCAACACCTGGAAATATTTCCTCGTGAGATTGAATAATTACCAATGAAAGAAAGATACTTGTTGTAATCTACTCATAAAAAAGAAAAATTTACTGTAACTGAAGAAATAGTACTATTTAGTCTTCCGTGAATGACTCTAATAATTATCTATTTTTGACAGTACTTTATAAAACTGTCCGTTGACACCTACGAAATAAACAACAATGAACTTTCAGTGCCGTCTTTTTTTTGATACTTTATCAAACAAAATATTTTCCTCTTCATTGTATACTGAAGAAACTTGAATTAGAGAAAAAGAAAAACTAATAAGGGATTAAAGAGTCCTAAATAAAAAGAACAGATGAAGCAAAACAAATTTGTCATGACAAATCCTTTTTGAAATATTCACATGAATAATTGACGTGTCCAACTTATGCAAAGATGATTTGTTTAAAAATAGTGCACATGCTATATAAAAAAAAAGAAAATAAAGCATCAACTAATATAAAACTTAAAACAATCAAGAACGAAATAAAATTTGACTGTAACCAGTTATGTATTCATTTGTGCGATTATAGTTACTAATTCAGTTACTGTCTGTACTGCAGCCGCTTTAATTGTGTCTGTAGTTTTGAATAGAGCAATCATAGAAGCTGTTGTTGATATGTCAATAAATATAAAAGCAATACGAAAATGATATTGTGGTATAGTTGTAAAAAATGACATTAAAATAAATATTGCATATGGTAAACCAAGAATGACAAGAATAGTTGAGATTGTAACAATATTTCGAACCATTTTTAGTTCTCGTTCAGCACGAGATAAAACATTTGCAGATGTTATTCGTTTATTCATTTGACGAACATATCGAACTAGTTTAAGATAAATTATGTTAAGAATCATATTTGGAATAATATAAATAACAAGTGCAACATAAATTATAGCAAAAGAAAATCGAATAGGTGCTTGACATATTTGATTTTCAACATTGTACCTTATATAATCAGTAAATAAAAAAGGTATAAAGGCTATTAGACCAAAGATCCATGTTATAATAATCAAAAAAAGTTGAAATCGGTGTGATTGCCAAAAGATGCGAGTTGGATATACTACAATAACATATCGATAGATAGCTTGAAGATTATAAGAATGATTTTGTATAACAGTCATACTATAATTGATGTACGCTCGAAAAACACAAAGTGAATCTTGATATTGAATTCGCTTTAGGTCACTGTTAACCCTTCGTGGTTGTCCTGATTTTTGTACTTCGTAGTTGTCCTGGGGTCCGCCTGGACCCACCTATAGAAAATTACAAAAAAACGATTTTTTCCTTTCTTCAAGCGCTTCATTTGACTTATATGAAGAGGTGGAGATCTTTCTTTATAAAAACTAATGAGTCAGCTCTCGTGAAAACAATGTAAAGATGTATGATATCGCAAAAAATTACTTTCTCTAATCGTTTTTGTAGCAACATTGATAATAGCTGGGAAACGCATAGAATATATCAATCTAGTCTAGATGATAGGATTCTACGCGTATGTTGTTATATATATAATCAATTGTACAATTGAGAAAGCAAGAAATTTTTCTTTTTGAACTATAGTTACTTTTATCTTTCTCTTTATTATTAGAAAAAGCAATAAAAACTCAGTTTTTTTAATCAAACTGATGATATTGTTTGTATATAAATCTTTTTTTCATAAATGCAAAGTATACTCTAATGTTTTTCCATGCATGTTTGACAAGTTACTGTTGTGACACTGTTGGAATGAGACAAACAAACATTTTGACAACAGCTGGAACATGTTTGTCGAACTTTTCGTCCTGGTTGAGCTGGGCATAGGAAACACCTTTTTTTGGCTTGATGAATTTGGATGTTTTGGCTAACATCTTTGATGCTCTCTGAGTGAACCTGACAACCCAGTGAGAGCAACGCCAGTTTGACTTTAGGCATAAGCCGAACTTCTTCACTACGGCGACGATTTTGTGCATTTGTCAAACTTTTGCTCAGCTGCTTTAAAAACGTACGTAACATATAAGCCAGCCAAAGTAAATCATTTAAAAAAAATTGTGAATCAACAGATGACAGCTTTATCAAGACGAAAAATATGCTGGTAACAGCCTAGTTGTCGTAGGGTCCATCCGGACCCACAGCTGCATTTTTCATCTGCTAGGCTTATCGTTGATTTCTAATAAGAATGTTGTAGACCAACATAGGACTAGAGATTAGATAAGGGGACTGGCCCGAAACAGAAGCTCTTGATGTAGTATTAAATAAAAAACTGTGAAATGGGTCCGCGCGGACCCCACGACAACCACGGAGGGTTAAGTGTAAATGTAGCTATACCTAAAGCTGTACATACACAGACGAGTTCACTTAGACATGTATTGGCAATCAACATCATTGGTGTAGTTCGAGGTGTTCGGTTAGAAGCGATAATAGCCAAAACGATCAAAGCAATAATAATCGTCATGATGATACATACAATTCTCAAAATATCCATAGGAATGTACCATGGTTCAATATCTGTTATACGCGAATTATTACCAGATGTTGCCATCAATTTTGCGACTTCTCTGAAAGAACAAGTGTAAAAAGAGTGAATGATGAAGAGATCAAGTTTTTTTTCTATTTATTGATGTGTAATCTCTAAAAAATTTGAAAGTATTCATGGGATACGTTCATGATTTTCCCCTTTCAGCTAATTGAACTTCGTCGCAATAATATTGAACAGTATAGCGTAGAAAGCACTATAACTAAAATTAGATTTTTCGAATACAAATGGTTAAAAATCTAATCATGAGAAAAAAATATTACCATAAAAAAAGACTTTGCTCAATATTAATAGACAGAAATTATATATGTTCTTTGCTACTTTATGAAAATAAAAAGTAGAAATAAAAGAACACTAACGAGTTCTATAAATAGAAGCAGATGACAAATTTAACAAAAAAACTCTTATAAGTTGTCACGCTTATTAGAGTGCTTGTTTTTTTCCCTGCTTTGACAATGAACATTTCATTAATCAGCAGTTAAAATGAATTAAATAGATAATGAAGTATAAACGAGTAAAGAATGAATGAGTTTAGCGCAACAGAATCCAGAATCTGTCACCAACTGATAGATATATCAAAAACAGTTGTTCCAATTTTCACTTTCAAGTGAAACAGATGGAAGTACAAATCAAAATAAGCTACAACAAACTAGAGACCTTGAGATCTTTTAATATATAGGTTTTACATGAACATATGAAATGTCCCTTATGTCCACTGTGGACAAATGCCTTGAGCATATCCAAAAAATCTTACATTCAGCTAAAATGGCTTCAACGTAACAAACACGTTGCGGTGCAAGTATTTAGAACAAATTCTTTTGCTCACTCATTTCCGTTTTTCTCCTTGCTGCCAAATATACAAAACGAGCTAATCCAAAGAAAATACAGAGTTGATCTTCGACTAATATATAGATGTCCGTTTATAGAAGCGGACGAAATTTTCAAGCTCATTAGAACGTCTCCGATTGACTTGCATGTATCTTGAGGGTGTGGGTGTGGATGTGGGGTGTGGGTGGGAGGTGTGGGTATGGGATGTGGGTATGTGTTGGTATGGGTGTGGGCGCGGGTGGGTGCGTGGACGTGGGTGGTGTAGGTATGGGTATGGGTGTGGGTGTGGGTTGAAAAAAGGCTGATCCCAACAGCCCTACCCACACCCACACCCACATCCTCGTCATCATTAATTCTAAGAAGAGTTAACGACAATAATCGAGTGAATTGGTCAATGTTAAACATCGAAAGAAACAATTTAATTTGACTTGGTGTCTTATTATCATCTGAAAGTGTCAATGAGAATACATCTTCGGGTTGAATAAGTGGACAAATATGATGGAAATCAGATTTTGAAATTGAACTGAAGTCGAGTTGATATCGATTGTACGTATGGATTATTGCTCGAAAGAATGTATATACATCAGCAAGTGATAGAAAAATAGTTGGTGGATCAAGATAGTCAATAATATGATAATGAATCTCGACTAGTCAAGTCAAAAGAGACTCATTATATGCAGTAGACATAATCATTACGATTTGCTTGACTTGTGGAAAGACTAGTCAGTTTTTAAATGTTCATTGTTTCTTAAATTCAATCGATAAAAAAGTGACTATATCATCTCGTTCTGCAAGAGACAGTACATTATAATGTGATTGCGTCACATAACACCTAAACGACAAAGAAATGAATTATCAAGATCTTATAGGTACAACATATATCTTAACAAAATACCTTTGCAAGGCATGATTTTCTCAAGTATATGTGTATCATGCCATAGTCTCGTTGTTTCTGATATTAGCAAAGACGAAATACAAACACTGCAAAGACTAAACGAAAAAAAAAAACAAATAAATAGAAAGATGTAGAAAGAAAAAGCAGGAGGAAAAAACAATGTGACCCAATATCTTCTTGATATTATAGTTTGTGCGAGGATATCTTCACCGACGTTTGTCTTTGTCACGAGAAGAAAAATCATCTCAAAGGAAAGAAAAAAAACATGGATGTTTTCTCTACTTTCTTCGATAAGAGAGTCAAATGAAGAAAGAAATGCAATCGACTATCCCATTTTTAGGACTATCTGCTAAAACATTGCCATCAAATACGAATGAACTATATTTAGTATGACTTAACCTTTCATTACACATGTTATAACTCATACCAGAGATGTGTTAACGGAATGAATTATGTTGAAAATCCCGCACAATAATCTGTTATCTTGATTTTTTACGTAGTTCAAATTTTACCCTATCAATTCTAAACATAATAAGGGTAAAATCACGGTAACAGGAACTTTTCTTTACCAATGCACAATTTCTCCTTAACATAAGATCTGTGCTTGAAACTCTTACAGATATACCTATCCTTTTTGTGGAAGCATCGAGCCGACATGTTGGAATCTTACGAACTCATGATCCTTATCAAAAAATGATTTTCTTAATCTTGCAAGTCATCATAATACTGTCTAATTTGTCCCTTTCTTGAACATAGTTTAATAGATATTTATAAGATATTGAAAACGAAACACATAACAATTTCGGAACAAACGGAGACAATTATCTATTGCATTTTTGTTCTGTGAAAACAATTTAATGGTGATTAGTCTAATAGTTTATATGATATATAATGTTATGAATAATGATCATCATCACACAGTAGGCACACAAAAAAGACATGGAAATGAACTTATATGGTTCCGTATTTAACCAAATTAGATCACTTGGCATTCAGTTGGTAAACAGCATAATATAGTGCTTGAGGATTAGCCGATGCCTGTAGTTTATAATCGAGTGTGGCTTTGAGACGAAAGCCAACACTTTCTAATTCGTGCTGCCATTCCTTACGTGTTCGATATTGAATTGAACTCGTATATTTAATGATGTTAGACTTTTGTTGTTCCCAGTCAATCGTATCACTTTCAGAAACGACCACAGATTCATTATGGTTTTGGCTAAGATGATTAGCTGCTACTTCAGCAAATTCACCAACTCGTGCAATCATCATAAAAGCATGAACAAAATTGAGATATTTGGCTGTAAGTGAGCGCTCGTTTCTGCAATCATGTTCACGTAAGATAAGATAACCATCTGGTTGTAGAATGCGAACGAACTCAGAAAGCATTGAGTTCAGATGGGGAACATGATGAAGTGTAACGAAACAGGTAATAAGATCGACACGATTGTCAGCTAGATAAACAATGAGATACATGAAAATAGAAGAATCAATCGAAATTATGAGTGATTGCAGGCATGTGAAAAGTCTTCTTTCTGATTAACTTTGATTACCGTCACAGAATTTATATGCATGACTGTTCGAATTGTACTATCATCTGTTATGGAATATTTCAATTAGCTGTGTTCTATACAAAAAGAACTCTTCTCATTCTATCATCCGCTTTGCCTATTATCTACAGAGAACTCCTGCTTTTGTATTTGTTTTATCTAACAAATTACCTATGCATTAATTATAGATTCAAGTAAGGTACACTTTAAATAAACGAAAAAGAAAATTACCAAGATTGATGATCGATTGGTTTAAGTTAACATTTACAAACGTCACTCTTTCATTGTGACTGTTATAGTCACTTCCACCAAAAATATTTTCTTTATTCAAACCCAAATACTCGCCAATCTCAGCTGTAATCAAACCATCACGACAAATCATATCAAAATAGGCATTGATAGATCCGCGACTAATAATCTCTTGGAAATCATATGACGGTGTTAGTTTTAGATCGCAAAGATTTGATGGATAAGCACTATTGAATTCAAACATAGTCTTGAGTTCGACTAAACGATGACCAGGTCGAGTTTGAAGTCGCCATTCACGAAGTGACATTTTAGCATCTAGAAGACCAAGTATAAGTATTAAAATATTTCTAATTTCTCCATAAATGAACCGGGTTGTTTCTCGAATTGTTTGATTACCGCATAAAGTTGATCCAGTTCATCTGATCTATTAAACTCTATTCTTAGAGAAGCCAATAGTTGGCCTATGTTTTCCCCTTGTCCATAGATTCTACCGATGTAGGAAAGCAGACGATGACGATATTGTTCATTTGACCATAAAGAAAACTCTTCATCTCGCGAATTCATCCAACGAGCAAACACATATTTTCCAGATCCAACTGAACGCCCTGTTGAATAAATTTACAAAGAGTGTGTCCTGTTCACGTATTTATTTAGATTTGAAACTGAAATGAATACTAATGAGAATTGTAAAAAATAATCGTACTTACTGAATATCAATAAAATCCTAATTACCATTTCCTCTTGAATTAATACTAACTGACACATATTTGTCACTAGAAACTCAGTGACTCATTTATGTAAGTACGTTATTATATACTGCATTCCTATTGGAAAACGACAACAGATCGGCAGCAGCATCAATACATTTTCAACTCTTTTTATTTACTAATTTCGTTCTCGTAACCAAATAGACACTTTGAAAAACGTCTGTGCTGCTTCATTTCACTATTCTCAACAGAATATCTTCTTTATGAAACATTTTCATAAATGTTTTCACTTTATTTTTTGGATAATTTTAGGTCAAATCAAAATGTTCAGAATCTTACCCTTTTTAGCAGAATCTTTTGAACATTCCATTGAATTGCTGGTTTTACGATTATGAGTCGAACTTTCTGATGAAGACAATAGAGAATGTTCTCTGTTGTCCTTCGATTCACACACTAAAATAACATTTCCGTCAATATCAACCACTAATTACTGTCGCTACTTACTTTTCTCTTTGCTTTTTGTGTGGTTTGTTGTGTCTTGGTCTTTTATGACATTATGAGATTCGTCATTGAAAGCATTTGAGTACAATTGATCTAAAATATAACGATACGTTCATGCTTACTTATAGTGTTACCAATGAACACTGTGAATTTTGCTAACCACTATTGATAGTCCCTGATTTTGATGTTGTGCTACTAGTTTCTTCTAGTGACAAGAGAAGACAAATAAACTGTCTGTCCAAACTTTCTTTTTGATAAATTTGATATTTAAATCAAAAA